CCAAATAAGCAATTTGGAGGTAGGACATCAACATTTGCCACATGTTAATCATTGAAGGCATACATCCTCTTCTTGTATTATAATAGATAATAGAGTGTTATTTCCACCCTCAAAATATCTTATTTCACCATCAAATTAAAAAAAAAAAATTATAAACCATCTACCACTAAACTAATTAAAATATTTATAAAAAAAAAATAAAAAAACCCACCTTTTTTCGTTGGAAATCTCACTCTCTCCACCTTAAGTAAATAATACTTTCGTCAGAAAAAAATACTTTCGAAGGTCAAAAAGAGAAGCAATTCATTTTTTTGGAGAAATTAATTAAGATTACTTGTATGGAAGGTCCTTAACTTCGTTCACAATTGGCCAGTTTGTCTTAATATAATTTGAGACATGTTATTTCCACCCTCAAAATATCTTTTTTCACCACCAAATTAAATTTATTTCATATTTTACCCATTTTTTCTCTTTTACCGACATTATGTATAAATTCATTTATTGTCCACCACCAAATTTAATACAATATTCGCAAAAAAGCCCTATCATTTTCCACGAGAATATTTACCGCATAATCCCACCCTCTCCACCTTGAGTGAACGATACTTTCGTCAGAGATAAAACTCCTGAAGGTGAAAATGAGCAGGAATTCACGTTCTTGAAAAAATAAGTTAAGAGCTCTCTTGTAGAAAAAGAAAAAAAAGAAAAGAAATTTTCGGTGGATTAAAATTTGAAAAACATGTTACTTTTCACTCAGCACAATGTGCCTAGAAACTGATTTAAGTTGGAGGATTGTTAGAATTTTGTTTTACAATATAGGTTTCATTGTAAAAAAAGAAGAAAAAAAAACTTAGAATAAATGAGGATTGAGCGAATACAATAGAGGGCGGTGGATTAGAAATTTGAAGGGTACTTAAGCTATTTTATATAATTTGGTGGTGAATAAATTTGGAGGTGAAAATAGCACCACTCTATAATTTTGTTTCCAAAAAATTTTTTACATTATTTGTTGGTCATCTGATATGGAAGTTTACATATCTTGTAATAATTATTTTACTGTAAAAAAACTAATAAAATAAAATAAAAATAACTTAAAACACACGAGGATTAAGTGAATATAAGGACGGGTGGTGGATTATAAATTTGAGGAGTACTTATGACATTTTATAATCTTTGGTGGTGAATTGATATAATTTGGAGGTGGAAATAACACCACTCTTAAATAAAAAAAGTCATGATAACATAATACTTGCGGGTCGACCCAACAAGTTATTGGGGATATCAAACATCAAATATAGTCCAATTATTTAATTAATAATGGATACCCAAGCAAACGAGACATAAGTATATTAAATTAGTGGTATAGCTAATTGGGGTTGTCTAGGGTCCGAGAGGGGCTGTACTACTCGGACCCAAACGATTGAAGATTAACCATTAAAAATGTGACATGTATGATTTGCACGAATCCTATAAAAAAAAGTACGATACCTACCTTATAAGTGAAATTCCATAAAACCCCCTATAACTAAAACTTAAGTAACAATTAATGATGATTAATAATAACTAAGATGTTTACAACTTAATTTTCAATACTGCGTCTTGTCTGATTTCTACCATAAACAGAATACCTAATATATTTTTTTTCTTCTTTTTTAATTGGGATAATTACAGTTTTGGTCGCCAAGTTTATACATTTTTCACTTTTGGTTTCTCATTTACTACCGTCAACAAAATACACAGTAATATTTCTGGAGTTGCACCCACACGTGAGAATAGGGAGGCAAATTCGCCAATTTACAAGCTTTTTAGAAAAAAAAAAGAAAAAAAAAAGAAAATCTTCTTCTTCATCGTCGTCTTCTCTCCCTCTTGGCAGCCGAACAGGGGAGGGGAGGTTTGTGACTATAGGAGAAATAGAGTTGGAGAAAGAGAGAATTATGTCTCTCGCGTATATTAATCATATATATAGTTACATGTATGAAACCCTAACCTATTACACAAGGTAACCTAATACACAAGGTAACTATAATAAATAATAATAATAATATATACGTAATATATAATAGATATACTCTAATACACCCCCGTAGTCGAAACGGGAAAGGAGAGGACGTGGAGACTAGAGACAAACTGTTGAAACAGTTGAGTAGGGAGTCCTTTCGTGAAGATATCGGCAAACTAGTAGGCGGAAGGGACGTGAAGAACTCGAACGTGCCCCAAAGAAACTTTGTCTCAGACAAAGTGGATATCGATCTCCACATGTTTCGTACGAGAGTGTTGAATAGGATTGCTGGATAGGTAGACGGCACTGACGTTGTCACAGTAGACAATGGTGGCTTTCGAAAGTGGGCAGAGCAACTCAGAAAGTAGGTTGTGTAACCAAGCCGTTTCGGTGACGGCGTTTGCGACAGCTCGATATTCAGCCTCCGCACTAGATCGAGAAGTAGTGACCTGTCGTTTGGAGGACCAAGAGATGAGGTTGTTGCCGAGGAAAACGCAATAGCCCGATGTCGAACGACGAGTGTCAAGACAGCCACCCCAATCGGCGTCGGAGTAAGCGATAAGAGAGAGGTCCGGATTGGGCGAGAGGAGAATGCCGTGGTCGAGAGTGCCCCGAAGGTAGCGAAGGATACGCTTGAGAGCAGCCATATAGGGTTCCCTCGGATCATGCATGAATAATCATATTTGTTGCACAACATAGCAAATGTCGGGACGAGTCAACGTGAGGTATTGCAGTGCACCGGCAAGGCTGTGATAAAGAGTAGGCTCAGCAACGGGGGGTCCAGTGGTCGAAGACAACTTGCTCTTTGTGTCAGCCGGCGTAAGACAAGGGTTGGAGAAAGCCATGTGCGCACGCTCTAGTATCTCGTCGGCGTACTTACGTTGAGAGAGAGAGATAGCCCATTCGACGAGCGAGTAACTGAGATGCCGAGAAAGTAGTGAAGATCGCCAAGATCCTTCATTGCGAACTCTTGATTAAGGGCAACAATGATAGAGCGGAGCAATTCAGGTGTGGAGGCCGTATGTACAATGTCATCGATATACAGTAGAAGGTAGGCGCATGAACTGTTGCGACAATCGCGTGAATTGTTGCGACAATACACAAAGAGTGAAGTGTCAGACTTGCATTCTATGAACCCCATAGTAGTAATGTGAGAGGCAAAACGCTTATACCAAGCACGAGGTGCCTGCTTGAGGCCGTAGAGTGCTTTATTGAGGCGACACACGTGAGTGGGGCGAGATGGTTCGACGAATCCGGGAGGTTGCTCGCAGTAGACAGTTTCAGAAAGATTGCCATGTCAGAAGGCATTTTTCACATCAAGCTGGTGGATTGGCCATGATCATGAGAGAGCAATACTTATAACTGTTCGAACAGTGGCTGGTTTGACAACTGGGCTAGAGGTCTCGTCAAAGTCGGTGCCAGCCTGCTGGTGAAAACCGCGAACAACCCATCATGCTTTGTATCGCTCAAGGGAGCCATCAGACTTGAGTTTCTGTTTGTATATCCACTTACCAGAAATAACATTAGTGAACGGGGGGCGGGGCACAACATTCCAAGAATTGTTTTTAATAAAAGCAGTATATTCCTCAATCATGGCGTTTCGCAAATTTTGGTCAAGAAGAGCTTGGCAATAGTTGGTGGGAATGGAAGAGGTAGTGGACGCAACTAGAGAGAAAGGGACTTTGGGTTTGTGGATGCCCACTTTACTGCGAGTCACCATAGGGTGAGCAGGGGGAGGTGGGGGTGGTGTGGGAGTATGGGAAGGAGATGTGGGAGTAGGAGTAGGGGTTGTGAGTTGGTCGTGGTCGAGAGGTGGTGCTGCAAGTGAAACAGGTGTTGGTTGTGTTATAGGACTGTGGGACGAACTCTTGGAACTGGGTGGTTCACTGTTGGAACAGTTGGATGAACTGTTGCATCAGTTAGACGAAGTCTGAGGGAGGAAGAACATGGACGATGTGTTTTCTTCCAATGTAGAGGTAGGAAGTGTGTTTGTGGGGGGAGTTCACTCAGCAAAGGGAAAGTGAGTTTCGTCGAAGGTAACATGACGAGAAATTATGATTCGGCCAGTGGATCTATCAAGGCAACGATAGCCTTTGTGAGAGGAAGGGTGACCGAGATAGACACAAGGAGTAGAACGGGGGGCAAGTTTATGTGGTGTGGTGGCAGTGAGGTTGGGATAGCAGAGACAGCCGAATACTTGAAGATGAGAGTATGTAGGTTTGATAAGGTAAAGAGCTTCGTGAGGGGTCCGGTTTTGTGTGGTTTTGGTCGGTAAAATATTGAGTAGGTGGGTGGCCATATGAACGGCTTCGACCCAATAAGTAGGAGGAAGATGAGCTTGAAAGACCAGGGATCGAATCATGTTGGTTATAGTGCGGATCATTCGTTCTCCGTGTCCGTTTTGAGGGGAGGTGTGGGGACATGAAAAACTATTTAGGATGCCGTGTTTAGTGAAGTAGTTTTGAAAATCTGCATTTTTTAATTCACGACCATTATGACATTGTAAGGCTTTGAGGGGATGTTGGAATTGAGTTTTGAGAAGTGTATGAAAATTGACAAAGGTTATAAAAACGTCAGATTTATTTCGAAGAGGAAAAGTCCATAAATAATGGGTAAAATCATCAACTAAGACAAGATAGTGTTTGAAACCCGTAAGACTAGAGACAGGAGAAGTCCATAAATCAGCATGAACAATTTGAAATGGTTCAACAGTAGTAGATTTTTGAGAATAAAATGGTAGACGAAAATGTTTGCCTAATTGACAAGTATTACAAAGAGACTCCCTAGGGTCTTTATTATGAGAAAGAAAACTGCTAGAAAATAAACAGGACATGACGTGTTTGCCGGGATGGCCTAGACGCCGATGCCAAAGAGTTTGAGACGAAGGTGTGGAGACAGTAGGGAAAGCAGCGGGAGGTGAGGTGGGAGGAGGGACGCCAAATGGATATAGGTCACCAGAGCTATTGCACCTAAAAAATATCGACTCGACTCCGATGATCCTTCACAGAAAAACCAAAAGGGTCAAATTCAACCGAACATGAGTTATCGCGGGTGAACTTTCGAACAAAGATAAGGTGTTTGATGATATTGGGTGTGACATAGACATTTGTGAGGCGGAAAATGAGTGGTGGCCGGGAAGAATTGTGTGGCCTATATGGGTGATGGAGAGGGTGGAACCCTTACCGACGACGACATGTTTGGGGAAATTACTACTAAGATTAAAAACAATGTTGAAATTACCTGAGTGTGGTGCCATTTGAGAGGTCGCCCCGCTGTCCATGAACCACTGTGACTCAGTAGGCTGCTCAAGTGTCACCGTATTCAAAGGATTTGCTAGATCCACCACGTTGGCACTGTTGCAAGAACTGTTGCAACTGTTCATGGAACTGTTAGAGCTGTGGCATGGCTGCTGGTGCGGATGAACCTGAGGAGGGGCCGAGTGGTCGGTGTAGGGTTCAGGTGGTCCAGTAAAGTAGGCTTTAGCAGCCGGAGTGGATGGGTGGCCCGATGTATTTGGAGCGGGTCCTAGAATTGACGGGAACGACGGTTGTCGGTAAGGCGCGCACCAGAGTTGAGATGGGCTATGAGCACTATGGTAGCCGTAGTGCTGCATGGGGTGACGGTTAGTGCCGCGACCTCCGCGACGGTTGGATCGGCCACCCCCGCGCTGATAGCGCGAAGAACCACCTCTGCGGGAACTGTTGCAACTGTTAGATGGACAGTTCGCGTTGGAGGCGTAGAAAACAGCAGCAATCTGCTCAGGTTCAGCAAGTCTTGTTTCTTCCATTTGAAGAAGCGATCGAGTTTGTCGAAAAGTGGGAAGGGGATTCTGAAAGGAGATGAGATTGGCGACAGTCCCGTAATTTTTTGAAAGGCCGTGTAGGGTTTGGAGGACGAGTTGTTTGTCGGAGATTGGATTTCCGACATCGGCCAAGCTGTCCGCCGTGGTTTTGATTATTTGGCAATAATCGTGAATGGAGAGAGTGCCTTTCTTGAGGGACTTGAGTTTTTCTTCAAGTTGAATGGCCCGATAATCTTTATTATCGGTGAAGAGAGAAGAGATGGCCGTCCATAGATCACTGGCGGTGGAGGTTTCAGAGAGAACCATGCTGGACAAATCATCGGAGATGGTGCCGTAGATCCAAGATTGGAGAAGATAGTTGGCGCGTTGCCATTCATCGGCGGAAATTGGATCCGGTCGGGGTTTTCCATGGAGAAGATGGGAGAGACAGAAACGACCGACAGTAATTGTGAAAAAGTTGCTCCACTTTTGATAGTTGGGATTTTTCATATCTAGAATAACGGGGATAAGAGATTTGATATTGGAGATAGGATGATGAGCGAGGTGGAAAGGATTGAAAGGGGCGGTGCAGGGAGAAGAAGCGTCGCCGGCTATGTAGAAGAAGATGGGCGACGACTGAGAAGGGAAGGGTGGTGGTGATGGCTAGGTTAACCTAGTGTCTGATACCATATAGGAGAAATAGAGTTCTTCTCTCACGTATATTAATCATATATATAGTTACATGTAGGAAACCCTAACCTATTACACAATGTAACCTAATACACAAGATAACTATAATAAATAATAATAATAATAATAATAATATATACGTAATATATAATAGATATACGCTAATAGTGACAATCCAGACAAAACACAATTACATAAATTACAGACACAAACTTATATATCATTCCACACACAACACATACACAGGGGAAGAAAATTAAAGAGTCATGGGTCATAAGTAATTGATAGAGCACGGGTTCTTGAAGTGGGCGTGATTGAGCATCTTGAATTTGATGTGGGGCCTTTCGAGCAGACATAATGTTGCTGCCCTTGTGCACCACCACCTCCACCGCCGTCGCCATCGACATTCTTTTTCGAAGAAGAAGAATGTAGAACAAGACCCTTATTTCTCCAGCTGCAAATCTTGCAAATCAAACTGACCCTAAAATACCATTCATTTGTATCCCATCTTAATCAAAAATCATAAAGCACACCCCAAATAAGATCGCCATTTTCTCCATAACTTCTTTGTTTCTGTGTTTGTCATTGTTCTCTCTAAAGCCTTCGTTGTTTTCCAGTCAAGAAGGAAAACCCTAATGAACTGCAGAGGAAGACCCCACCATCATCTTACTCCGCTGCCACCGTGTGATACGCGTTTTCCTCACGTATAAATTACCGCAAGTATACGGTATCGCATTTTGCAGAACAGTGGTTCCGGATATCGATCCACAGGGACCTTGTAGATTCAAATGCTGAGTAGTGTAATTATATTATCGTTATATTATCTAGCCGATCGTAAATAAGTGGATTGGTGAGAAACCCTAATTTAAAAGCATGCAAGATCATAAACATGCAAATATAGAATGTACGTAAATAAAGTAACGACAACTCAACGCGGGGGACTTCGATTTAAAGGGGACTTCTAGGGCCAAATCCACCTAGGTATAATCAACAACGATCGACAAATCCGCTATCTAAAATCACGCTCCTATTCGTTAACCCAGACGCTAATGTACTCTAACCCCCGTCTCCAGTGTAGTTAGAGTCTACCCACAGGTCCGACGTCTCCGTTCAGAACCTGCTATTAAGAGAGCATTTAGGCCAAGTCCTTAAGGGCTACCCGAAGTGCATCACGTCTCCGTTTCCACACCCCGAGCTATGTTTTCCTAAAATCAAACGAGAAATCCTCTCTCGAGTTCATTCTCATTTACAATCAATCTGAGAGCTGATCAACACAATCAGAAGCATTTAATACAGGAAAACATAAACGAAATCAAAACACGATAAATAGATAACAGAAATGACGATCGAAATCAATATATACAAGGCTTCATTGCCCTAGAAGAAAATGTTCTTAGTTCATAACAAACATAGTATCAAAAGAATGTACAAAGGAAATGAAGAACAAAACGTAAAGAAATTGCGTAAGAAAAACCCAAGTCGGAACCCCCGTTGATGATTCCCGCGAAGAACCGTCGAAAACCGTAAAAAGTCGACGAAGAACGAAGAGTGAGGGCTTGCTTCTATTTATAGTAAATTGCAAAGCTTCCTCAAGAAGCTTTGCTATTTAAAATATCTGCCCTCGAAAATCGTGCCAGATCGCGATCCAATAAAGTCGGATCGCGATCTGGCTTCTTTAAAAAAACGTGAACCGCCTTCCAGATCGCGATACAGGAAGTGCGGATCGCGATCTGGGTCTGAATATTGTTTGCTTCTGGAATTTGTCACCAGATCGCGATCCGACTTTCCTGGATCGCGATCTGGGTCTGAACTTTGCTTGCTACTGGAATATGCATCCAGATCGCGATCCGACTTTCCTGGATCGCGATCTGGGTCTTAATGATCACTTTCTCGGCTTAAAAAAATCGGTTTCGCTTCCAAATGGCTTCGACTTGGCAACAAAAGCTAACAAAACCTAAAAAAGGAAATAAAACAAGAAACGCAATAATATATACAAATAAAGCCGAAACTCGGACGAACGAAGACCAAAACTCGAAGATTCGATAAGCAAAAATCGTGCAAAACGAACACTTATCACCGTGTCGCCGGAGTCCACCTACGAGGAGCTCGACTCATCCATCAACCATTTCGGCTCCAAACACAAAATCGACGGCGGAGTCATTGATGTGGAGGGGAGGGGCGGAATGAATTCGGGAATGCGGTTGTTGTGGTGGTGCACCGGCAGATGGTGGTGGTGGTCTCTGATTTGTGAGAGGTGAAAACTTCCCCTATTCCGCTGCCGAGAGAGAGGATGCAAACCAATTTTGTTTTCTTTTATGTATTATCTTCTTTCTTCTTTTTCTTTTTTCATTTTACTAAAAACCTTGTGAATTGGTGAATTTGTCCACCCATTCTCACGTGTGAGTCGCACATATGCAATTCCGGTAGCATTTTTCTGTCAAAAATAGACTTTTTAGTTGTCGGTGTAACAAATTAGTAAGTTCATGTATGATCGTGCAAATTTTTTTGTTTGGGGGCAAAATGCAAAAACGACCAAAGTAAGGGGGCAAAGTGCACTTAACCCTTCTTTTAGTTTTCAAATTTAATTATGTAAGGTTAACAAAGTAATTTTACATGAAGTACGATGAAGTACGACCTGTGTACGATCTATTTTTACTGGGTTCGTACTTTAATTTATAAATTCATAGGTTCGTACTGGATCGTACTTTAAATCAACGACTATAAATTTTTACTAAATATTTTCTACACACCCGATTAAATCGTTTGGGTCCGAGGAGCACAACCCCTCTCGGACCATAGACAACCCCTAGCTAATTAGATGACAACTTTGATCGCAAAATGGTCTAAACTATGTCTTCGATAAAAAAAAAAAAAAGTGTCACCGGTATTTTGTTTTGTTGTAATCGATTTTTTTTTGGTTACGGCATTGAATTAATAACATATTTAATTCTCGAATGTTACTTGAGGAATACTGGTTACCATTTGATTCGGACTCGGTCGAGTTTGTAGTGGAATTTCAGACTATTCTATCCTCTCTCTTTTATCTCTCTTGTTTTAAATCAATAGAGAAAGCATGTTCTCTATGACATTTACAATTGAGAAACACGTTTGTTTTTCAATTGGTTTCAAATAACTAAAAAATAAACTTCATTACTAAAATAATTAATATCATAAGAAAATTATGGAAATTTATATCCATAATTAGCATCAAAGAAATCAATAAAACAAAAATCTTATGTACTCAATTCCTCATAACTTTTTCAACAGTTAAATAAAAAAAAAATTGAAACCCTAATTACCCTTTATACGAAGGCATCGATGAAAACGACATTGACCGACGGTACATACATTCATTGGTTAAAATTATTCAATCTTACGGGTTTATTTCTCACAATCATGAGTTTCAGTCACATATATATAAGTGATATTATTCAATCTTACGTTTTTATTTTTTGCTATAGATGTAATAAAAGAAATTTGATACATATATATATATTCTGCAATAACCGTTTACGGTTACCATTCCGCAACAACGATAGTTCTATACTTTTTTTCGTGCACAACTATTTGTTTTCGTACGCGCATTCAAGTTTCCTAGTAGAAGGGTTGTCACAATAGTCGTAAGTCATATACTTTTGCCGGTACGTCTTCATCACTTCTTTCTCATGGTCACTGAGTTGTATGTAACTAAGGTTGTTCCAATAGTATCTATCGCTGTAGCATTCCTTAATATTTGCAGTGGGCGCAGGGCAAGCGTCGAACCCGAAATCGGAATAGTGCGCGATGAAGGGAGCGTTTTCCCAGTTGACCGGTCCGGGCCAAGTCCATTCGGGCGGTGGGTCCCATATACTTGCTTGTACGTACATCGGAACAATCGGGTAGGGTTGAAGTACTGTGTAATAGTACACTCTTATGGGAATGTTATCAATAGAGAATCTGCAATCACAACCATTGTTACAAATTTTGAACAAATAGAATTATTTAATATATCATATATCATCAGAAAAATTATTAATATATTACTAAAATTAAGTCGATCAATTTTATTCAGTTACAATATGATTAAAGAAAGGTGAAAGTTTGACATACATTTAGAATAAATTATACAAATATATGATTAAATTAAAAAGATATTAGAATATTCCTTTATATTATTAGAACATTGATCATGAGTTTGTGACAGTTTCCATATTTAGACACATTTTATTAGTATTCCTAATCTGGATAATATGTTATAAGGACAAATTATGGAAAAAAAAGACCTTTGGGTAATAACAGTCATCATCTCCTTTTAAATGTTTTTACATAAAATTATATAATTCGGTTATTTACCAAACCAAATCGTATATTCAGTTCGGTAAACGGTATAAAATGTTGGCGTATCAAAATTTCGGTTTAACATCCCTAAATTTACCTCTGGAGTGATATTTTCGTAAGGTAATACATAGTTGACGGGAGTGGCTGTAATTACTCAAGGATGAGGGAGATTTCGTAATTTGACCATAACTCAGGGGTGACCGTAATTTGGCCTATATTATAAATTAATATTATAGGTGAAATCCAATATTAAGATAGAATAAACTGAAACCATCAAATTTATGCTACACCGGATAAAGTTTTCACAGATTATTTACTTACACGTAACGTGGATGTGTGTATTCGCCTGTGTGTAAATAAATAGTAAAAATCTACCCAAAAATGAATTTCATACAGTGCAGCATAGAATAAACGAAAACATTAGAAAGCCGCAAGTAAGGGATGCATGTTCTTACAGTATCAAGTACGGGTTCCAACGAATTTCGTAAGTGTGAAAATCCCAT